ACCAAAGAAAATTAATACTTTTCAAAACTTGTTTATAAAGTTATGTTACTTAATAAAAAAAAAAATGAGGCATTTAAATGTCTTAATTGATAAATAAGTACAATGTTTACTGAAGCGTGACCATATAGAAAAAATGAAAATCATGCCCATGTTTTTTGAAGGAATAAATTTCTATTTTTTTTCTTTATGTTTGTGTTCCTTATGTTTATACCAATTAAAAACTCTGAAAAAAAATTATACCGTACACGGCATTTGAATCCAGAATACAACAGATAGCCACGGCACTTTTCATCAATATACATAGAAAATGTCAAACAGTTATATGCTCAAATAAACAAAATATGGGATTTTATGTTATGTTTTGTATCTTCTCACGGCGTACGGATGTCTAAAGCAACGTCACATTTCATCTTTGCTTTAAAAAAAGTTGGATAAGCCACACTTAAATTCCGGGAATTTTACTGACACCTACAAATGAGTTCCCCTTCATTCCTCCGTAATCAGTCGAAGGAACAATCTCGCACACATATGGGACCTTATGAAAACTTGTATTCGTAGGTTATGGAAGGAACCCATATTTTTCACTGAGTTCAAAAAGGAGGTATATTTTCGTCTTTCGTTATTGCAAACTGCTGATTGTATATATGTTTTGACCTCCCGGGGAGTCATCAAAAAGTTTCCGCTAAAAATGCTCATTCCACTTGTATTTTAATATATTAGTGATATTTTTATTTTTTGTTATCTTTTATTATCATTTAAAGTCTCTGAAGGCGTCATTTCTTAACCAGCATATAACTGAAGTGCTCTTCTGTGCGCCGAAACGTCATCAAACATCGTAATTTTTCGTGTGTTGCGTTTAACACTTTCCCATTTGAAAGTCTCGGAAAACTGCCAAAATATAAGGAAATTCCTTGATTTTTTTATTTATAACGACAAAGGTAGTGAATAAAAAATATAATAATTTTTAACCCAATCGTATCTATTTAATACTTTTATTTCGAAATAATACTCGCATTATTCCCTGATAAAACCCTGATTTTTTGGTCGTGCACCGTAGGATCATATCCTGTGCACATTCAAGTATGTACATGTATAATAAAATCCTTATTTTTGACTATAATTTATAAAAAAAAAAAAAAAAAAAAAAAAAAAAAAAATAGATGTACTTAAATATGATAAATAAATACTTGCCGAAAAATTTAGCTCAGTGCGTGAATTATTTCTTTTTATAAAACGCGATGTCCACGATTTTACCGGACAATCCTCGTATACCCTGTAAAATTGATATTTACGTTTCACGCTTGACTTAATCGCTCTCAGATTTGAAGTGGTCGTCTCCAAAGATCAGGCGTTGAAATTTTCCATTTATTTTTAAATATGTGTCTGCTACATAAAAGCGAAATTATTTCACTCTTTGTAAACCCCTCCTTAGAAAAGAGACAAAATAACTTTTCTATGGGTGCATCATTTCTAAGCACTAGCACTTCATAAATATACCTACGTGACTAGTCTGTTTGACTTACATACCAGTGACTCACACAAAACTTCAAAACATTCCTCAAATAAATACATATCATTAAACATTCTTTGTGCCTGAATGGTATTTTTTTTTAAATACATGTACATATATATTCATCTGCTAATGTCTTTCCACGTATGTCAATATTAACGAAATTGGTATCCAATTTTCGTTGACATAAAGAGATCACATGATCAGACTTTCTTGCCTATGCAAACCAAACTGCACGAGACATTTGGAAGGTCTAGAATGTGATGTCAAATGACTTGTACGTGTGTGTTATGTTGCATTTCTATAACAAAGTGTAAATAGCGCATTTTTTTCTTTATAGCACAAAGAAAAATAAAATATAAATATAAGAAAAAAATACCGGTATCATTTTTAGAGTTTCATTGGGAAATGACATGAAGTTGGTGATCAAATCTAATATAACACCTTTCGGCCGTTTTAGTATTTGATCATGTCACATCCCAGAGAAACTCTAAAAATGATATCTTTTTTATTAAGTATCAATAGTTACTAAGAACAAGACCTTACGTTACATGCACTTAGTATCATACATTAGGCATGGTAAAGGATTTTTTCATGAAAAAAAATTACAATTATTTTTACACTTGGTGATTACTTCACCTTTTACAAATCATTTATAGCTTATTTGAATTTTGTTACTCATCAGGTAAAACAAGTTAATATATCATTTTTAATGTGACTATCCTTCTGTCAAATTACAGATATACCTAATATATATAGCCGTAACTTATATATTTTTTGTTGATATGCTTTGAAACTCATGACATAGAAATATATTAGTAGTGTACAAAAAATGATACAGTGAAATTAGCATGAACTTCTGCGCATGCACGTGTGCTTCCCTCTGATTGTTAAAACAAATATTTCAATATCTTCCTTGTTTTTTTTTGTTTTTTTTTTAAACAAAATACTTTGAAAATTATGATAAAGGTATATACATATTAAAAAGTTCTACAAAATGTTTTATATGGAAATTCTTGTAAACTTGTGCATTCATGTGTGCTGCAATTTGATTGGCATAAACATAAAATGACTGTAAATTCTATAGTTTATAATAAAACAGGATGAAATTTAGAATATAGAAAGGTATATTAATAGGTTCCTTAATTTAGCTACTACTAAAATTGAATGCAAGAACTTGCATGCACGAGTGCCTATTTCTGATTGTTAATATTCATGTTGCAGAATGCTTTAACTTTCTTTAAATTTTTTCAGTCTTTGTTATGGCATTTTATGAGACAATGTTTATGATACATGTACATGTAAATCTCAAAATCATGTGCACTCAAGTGTACTTAAATTCGATTCGCTCATGCTTATATATGCATTGTTATTTCTCCAATAATTCTTTTGAAAATAAGTTGTAAACATTTATAATGCAAAGATTTTGCTGAATTAAATCAGAGACGTATAAGAGGATTATATGTCTCTGATTTAAATGAAGCTAACAGGGAACCCGAAAAGAGTAGGGGGATCATTTGAGGAACATCTGTGACAGTCTCTGTTACAATTAAAACGTATCGTAGTTAAAATGTTAACAAATATTATTTTAAAAAATCCTGCATAGTGTTGTTACTGAACCAAATATGTAATAAATAACTCTAAAACATTTTGTGTTTAAGATTTAATTCATTTTCTATTATAATAACTGTTGGCTACTTCAATTTCTATAGCTTCCCGCTTTGGATCTGTTAAAATCCGTGAAATAAAGAAGAATCAACTTACAGAACTGTTTTTCTAATGATGTTAATTTATTAATTTGTCTGTTAAAGAGTTAGGTTCACTTTATGCAAAATGGCCCTGTCCTTATATCAATTTATTGACTATCACCCTCTGTCCCATTCCATATATCAAAATAAAGTAGAAACTTAGTGCTTTCATTTCCTATAACAAAATTTCTTTTTGAGAATCGAGGTATGGGAAAACAGGCTTGGAGAAAATGCAATGTTCTTGAATTTTGCAGAAAACATGCGTATTTGACTACCTTCAGCAAAGAATTAAATATGAGCACAGCTCACGATCCAAAAATTAAAACATGTTTTGTTATTTTCAGAAATAGATCTTTCATTATGTAATTGCATATTTTGGATCAGAGGTTGTGCTCTATATGAAATATTGAAAAAATGCCTCAACTTTTGGCCATTTTTAAGGGAATTTACAGGATATGGGAAAAATGACGCATTTTATGACGTCATAATGCCTTGACTAGAGAGAAAATTACGTCATGTTTAATAGAGCCTTAACACAGTCGCCAGGGATCCAATTTATATATACTACATTTTCAACCAAAACTGAGCAGTTTCGATTTCTCAGAAATTTTCAGGGCAAAAATAGGCCCTAAGTGGCTCTTGCTCTTTTCAGAAAAGTACGGTAAATTATCGTCAAAATCAACATTCCATTGTATTTTTTTTTTTTTTACTTTTATATCTTAATTCACAATCTCTTCTTCTTATAAAAATATAATTTATTTTTTAAATATAATTATTATTTTTGGAATAATTTTATTATCAGATTATAACAATAATAATAGCTGTCAACAAATAATAAACATGTACATGTATCTCAACTTGGACCCGCGCCTTCTGGTGAAGGACTATTAATTAAATTTAATAATAAAGATATGTAAGCTGCCAGAACATTAAAAGCATATACTCTCTATCAAATAAATTATGATTTTGTTAAACCAATATGACATTTGTTCTTTTTAAATAATTCTAATAATTTTACCTATGCCGTAGGTACCTGTGATTTCACCTATGTAAGGTGTGAATCGAAAACGAGGCTCAGACAAACTCCGATGTAGAGGTGTTAAATTAATTGGATCATTCTTTTGAATACTGGTGTTAATCAGTATTTACTTTTATGATATATGAAAAGATATGAAAAGAAATTATGATTTTTCCTAAAAATGTCGGTTGTGATGGTGTATAAAGACTGAAAAAAATTCTAGCGCATATTTTAGCTTTCGGTTGGGTGCTATTCATTTAATTTCCACGCTTAAGAACGTTTGAACTAAAATACGCAAGCTGTAATATCTTACTAAATTCATATCGTTATTAAAAAGCAATGTCTTGCGTACATGCTGAGTAAATAGCCGTAGTATATATACTACTTTCGCTTTGTCTGCCCTATATAATAATACGAAGATATGAGTACATTTTCGTCAAAACAAAACAGAGTTTGGCGCTCTTTGCTTAACCGTGCCTTTCATTCTGCGCTTTGAACATATTTGTTCTTGCAATTTTACAGATGTAAAATATATGTCAGAGAAAATTAAGGGATACACAAGTTGACAATAATTTCCACAACTGGTATTTTAGTCATTTGAAAATTTCACCAATTTTATTTTTACTGTGATAATTTGGACTAAGGAAATCAGAATCTGATAATTTTCCTTTTACCGTCTTTTTGCATATCCGAATAGAAATCTTTAAATAGAAAAGGAACGAAATTAGTTTATAAAATCAAGTCGAAGCGTCTTCGTTCTTTCTTTATCTTTCAGGCGAGCAATTATTTCTGTCCCAGCAAACTCTAGTTCAACAGTGCACTCATATGAAAGAGGAAAACCATCTTCAGGAGCATCAATTTCTATTGTTCCATGTTCATAGCATCCCTTTTCAGTGACATATCTCTGAACTGTTTCCGAGTCTGATCGAAAAAGGACGCAACGGATTGGCTTAAATCGTTTCTCTTTCCTGTTTTCATCATGAAAAGATTCTTCCAATTCATATGAAGAAACGTCACCCAGTTTTATCATAGAGCCTTTTCGATAAAGCACTCGAAAACATTCTTTACACCATGTTTCGCCCTCTTGATTTACTTTTTTCCTGGGATCATCTTCTTTTTCCTCAAAGGGCCTCATGGTTTGGATTCCGTAAGAACATTTACACACACGTGCTTTGATCACATTGTTTTCATGTCCATAAAGCACAGCTCCTTTAAGAACAGCAACAGACGAATCGAAAGGAACATAAACAGGTATTGTTTTTGCATACTTTCGGAGCTCTGATGTCATCACAACAGATTGGGCTAATCCTCCAACAGCTATCACACTGGTTATATCACTGTGCTTTTTAAAAATCCGTTCCATTTCTGCAAATACGTTTTTAGCTAAAGGCAAGATGAGATTTCCGGACAAAAATGAAGAAGGCAAGAAAAGTTTACCTCGCGCTTTAACCTTTATACCGGGAAAAGCAACATCACTTTTTTCAAAACGATCTTCTAACTTACATTCCCAAGACTTTTCTGCAATGAGTTTTAGAGACAGCGGAATCTGTAAACATAATGGTTTTTCTGATTTTCGCTTTTTTTGCTCAAACTCTCGTATGAATTGCATGTGATCTGACATATTTTCATGTTTAAATTTTTGCATGTTATCTTTTCCAAAAACATCATCTAGCCATTGACAAAACTTTTCATTGATAGATGTTCCACCAAATGGCCCTCCAGTGGCTTCCTCGACAATGTGGATTTCTTTTTCACTCTTTATCTGAATGACACTGATATCTGTTGTTCCTCCTGAAAGTATTTTAATAAAAAAATATACTTAAAATTTCAACAATTGAGGTTTTCAAAACTTGAATAAATTGGTTTCAGAGACACAAGAAGAAATACTATAGCCACCATCACCTCCCATATCAAACACCAATATTTTTTGCCCTATTGAAAACGTTGCCCTTTCTTTATTCTCAGTCATATCTTCTTTAGCATTTATATTAGTCAACTTCTGTTGCAACTTCTGTTGCCAACAATAAAGAGCAGCCGCTTCTGGTTCATACACAAACATCAAATCTCTTGTCTGTATGCCTGCCTTTAGAACACAATTTTTATGACACGTGAAAATCTTACAATTAATGTTATATGCATTAGACGTTTGTTTAAAAAACATTTCTTATTAGCCCCTTCTAAGTGCTTTACATGTACCTCCTCTGCAGCCTCCTTTGTGAACTGCTTAGCAGCATCTGACCAGATGGCAGGAACTGTCAGCACCCATAGAATGTCTTCCTCACGAGGAGGAAACCCCCTCTTTTCTAGTGACTTGAAGAGAACTGCTTTAAGATGGCGGATTATCATACTAAGTATGGTAATTCCTGGCATTGGTTTGTCACATTCATCACAGATTGTGTCTGATCGAGATAGTTTCTGGACAAAAACAAATCAATTTACGGAGAAAAATGAAAAAAAAAATAATTCATTGGGCAATAAAAAGAAAATAATACAGTTTACTTTAAAATACTGTAAGACAATTTGGCTTTTTAACATACGGAAATTAGCATATGAAAATGATCAAATCAGAAGATCAAATAAAATACTAACTTCTTTGTATAGTAGCCTCATTTTGATATTCCTGAAGAAATACCAGTCCTGGTGTTGTTCATTCTCTACCAGACTGGAGTACTCCTCCTCAGCTTCATAACCAAAGGAATGAAAGGCTTTATCTGGACTCAGTAGAACCGATGACGGGGCCTTGGACGACATTGTCAGGGCATCCTCACCTGACCACTGATTAACATCTATATCCAGAGGATTTAGCCGAAAGTTATTTCGAAAAGAGAAAGCATATCCGCTGTACGCAGTTCCAAAATCTATGGCGGCAACCACCAGTTTACCGTCTAAAGAGCTCGCTCCTCCAGCCATTTTTATGACTAGTTTTCAGCTAATAATTCAAATTAACACATATAAAATAAAAGAGCATATCTTTTTAAAAACTTTTTTGAATGGTTTTCAAAAACGTCAATAAATCATGCACATGCTTTAGAAAAAAAATTAAATCTATATTACTTCGAAACAAATACCGTCAATACACAATTATTCTGCTATGTATTAATGAACAATAATGTACATATACGCAGTTCCAAAGCCTATGGCGGCAACCAATACTTTACCGTCTAAAGAGCTCGCTCCTCCAGCCATTTTTATGACTAGTTTTTAGCTAAGAATTTAAAGTAATACATATAAAATAAAAGAGCAGATATTATTTACAGCTTTTTGAATGGTTTTCAAAAACGTCGATAAATCACGCACATGCTTTAGAAAAAAATTTAAACCTATATTACTTAGAAACAAATACCGTCAATACACAATTATTCTGCTAAGTATTGATGAACAACAATGTACACGTACCATACCACGAAGATTTCCTAATAGAATTTATAATCAGTGTTTAGAAGGAGTTACATACAGGTAAGACATATGAATGCAAGAACATAATTTACTTTCAGGTCATATATACATTTTTATCTAATCTAAAGCTTTAATTTGTTATATCAAAAAATTAATGAAACAATTATATTTGGGTTTTTTTTTCCATTAAAAAACACAAATGTATTTATGTAACATTTATTTTGGCAATCTTATCCTTTATTTCCAGAGTTTCCCCCCCCCCCCCCCCGAAAAAAATGGCAACAGGGAAGATAAAGTCCAGTAATCCTAAAAAAGGTACAGAATCTATATTTCATTTCAATCAGGCTAAAAGATTCGATTCTTCTTCTTTTTTTCTGAAAGATTTATATTCGGGAAATTTACTTTTCCTGAAAATTGGCATTGTTTTTTCCGCACTGCATTTATTCGAAATCTTTATCGCTTTTGATAATATACAAGGGCGACTACGAGACTTTTGTTAACATGGGTCGCCCTTGATTTACTCACACTGTTTACACCTTAGACTATTGGTGCACACTCAGTGTACACTTTCCTGCACCAAGTCAATGTCATGTGTTGAAAGGTGTAGTACTGAATTCAATATGGCAGTATAATGGTACGATTGGAAATCTGACAAATGATTTTATGAAATATTAAGGATCATGCGTCACATTCAAGTTATCTTTTGTATGAAAGCTCGCCTTTTGTCTGATTAAGATATTGCAAGTATATGTTATACGACTAATTGACTGATATCTGTACTACAATATGTCAAGGCCGGTTAGGTTTATAGAAACAATGTGTACCAAATGAGAATTTAGTATATAATAAATTTTATGTGTACAGTGAAAATCTATAGTGGATCGACTGAACGTTCATGCCTACATTTTCGAACTGAAGAAAGCTCCTGTGAAAGACAAAAGAAATGTCTTGAGGAAGTACAAGAAACGTCAACACAGACACAGTAGGATTAGTAATTTGTTAAAAACAATCTGGTTCTCTTAAAACAGTTATTTGGGATTTTTAAAAATGATTTGGTATAGTTTTTGATACCTATGTATTGTGAAAGTATACGATTATGGACTTTTGAGATTGTTAGTATAATTGATATATGCCGAATACAGTTATGTACGAAAAAAATTAATAGTTTGAGGCCCGTTATGGTCGATATTTTTTTCATACAGGATTGTATTCGGCATATATCATCCTTAAAACATTGTCCCTTAAATTATACTCTTTTATTTACCCGAGACAGCCCGATATTTTTAACAAAAGACAGAAGTTTTAATGAACATTGAAGGAATTCTTATTACGAATGCATGCATAAATGTACAGCATAGTGCCATAAATGAGTTAACTTTTTTAATGGCTGCCATTTGAATCATATAAAATCAACTTACCTGAATTCCTTGCCAGCCTCTTAAATGAACTCTAATCACTCTAATATTTTGTGATGTCACCTTTCTGGATCAGTACCTCTCTGCATCTTCTTGGAAGGCTTGCATAAAATAAAGGTATTTCATTCCAAGCCCTCAGTAACTGAGTTTTCAAGTCATTTACATTGTGGATCAGGTAAAGTCTGTTTTTGATTATGTTTTTCATTAATAGCCAAGCATTCTCGATTGGGCTGAAATTGGGAGACTGGGGAGGCCAACTTATCTGTGGAATTCTGTTCTGATGTTTCTAATTTTCAGATTCATTGGACCGATGACATGTGGCATTGTCATCTTGGAAGTACCATGTACTGTTACCAAAATGTTTAACAACAACCTGCCAAATATTGTCATCAAGTGTTTGGATATATTTCTGAGAGTTCATATTTCCATTTATGAATGCTAACCCCCCCCCCCCCCCCATTATTTTAATAGTAGCAGACGACATTGGTGCAAAGTGGCCCAAACATTCAGGTCTCCATTTTCCAGATGACTTTTTCGATACTTTAAACTTTCCGTCAGGTTTAATGATAACCATCATTTCATCGGTAAACATCACCTTTTTCCAGTGATTATCGACATTCCAATATAACTTCACTCTGCATCAAGCTATGCGTTTCTTTTTGTTTACGTTCCGAATTCCTATAGACTTCCGAGAAGATCGCATTGTATAGCCCATGGAGTGAAGAGTCCTTTGTACTGTGCGACGAGAAACTTTAACCGGTGTACTGTTGTTGAATTCTGCCGTTATATCCTTTAAAGTTGTCCTACGAGAATTTTTAACGAGGCGAGAAAGTGTCCGTTCTCCTCTGACATTAACATATCGGGGTCTTCCCTTCCTTGGCTTATTTTCTATATCTCCTCGTTCCCTCCACCGCTTTAAAAATTTCGAAATTGTAGACGTGTTTATCTTCAAACATTTTGAAATTTCTGATGCCCGGTGTCCACTTTCTATTAATTGTACGATCACTTTTTTTTAGTGTCGGATGACATTTCATTGCCGTGTTTTGCCATTTCGTAAACAAGGAAGTAGAGTAATAACAAAATCAAATTCGCTAACGAAAATCCGGAAGTTAAAACTCAGTAAGCGTTACTTCCCTTTGATCATGAAAAAAATGATATGATATCGTTTATCTTACCACAACGAAACTTCGAAGTTTTGAAGCGGCGCTTGCAAATTGCGCGCCATTAAAAAAGTTGACTCATTTATGGCACTATGCTGTACTCAGTATTTTTTAATCATGCAGGTACACAGTTGTACATGTAGTTATTTGAAGTAATATAATTGTTTAGAGTGGGGATGCGATTTTCCTTAATAAAAACATGCATAGAGCTTAAAAGAATGCATTGGATTATGATACATATACAGATGGTCTAGTTTATATAATTTTTGGGAATGGGAAGAAAAATGCAGAAAATAGAACAGATACTGATTTATTAGTTTCTGATTACAGATATGGTGATATCTTTATAAAAGATGCAAGTGTAATGGATAATTTTGTAATGTAACCAGGAGTAGAAATCTTCGATGATTAACATGACAGACTTATCAGCTAACTCTGTTTTATAAATATTCAACAAATTTCTAAATTTTTAACACCAAATAAAAACATCACTTAAAATTACAAGTTCAGGGAGCTCGTGTTTAAATTGTTTTATTCTTCTCTTTCCTGTTACAGTATACATGTATTCTTTAAATTGTAAGTTTTTTTCCCAATTCTGTATGATCACTAAAATATCATTCTGTTTTAAGATAATCATTGTACACTTTAGATCATAAATTGGTGTTTGCTAATTAATCACATTTTAATTTGTTCAATAACAGTCCAATTTTGAAAGATATCAGTACTTAGACAGTCTGACATTACACTTAGTACACGTTTCACACCTAGAACAAAGGTTTCTGCTGCTACCAAATCACTTGGTACGTGTACACTCTAAGCCCAAGCTTCATGGTTGTATGACTATGCCATTGTGTGCATAATTATTAAACTTACATGTATCTTTATCAATGATAGGTTACAATCATGGACAAAGGGCAAGGTCACTTAAAAGATGAATTTAATTTTTGAGAATTCATGAGGACATTAACTACGACGCTTAATGCCGGCATATTTTTTAAAGTGTTAGCGCCTCGTGATAAATATGCAGGCGAGAAGCGTTGTAGTTCATGTACCTCATGATTTCCCAAAAATTAAATCATATCTTATATTTACATTATTTTCCGGATGACTTGCCACATTTTTTTGTCATCCAACGATCAATTTTGAAAAAAAAAGTTTGCACTACTTTCTGACTTCAATCACATCACAATGGAAATATTCTTACTCATTCAACGTTAATTCCTGAGAACATGAACTTTTTCTAACTTACAAAGAATCTTACGGAAAAATATTTGTAAATGTAAATACTTAAGGAATAACTGTCTAATTTTTTGGTTTCATGATGCGATCAATCGATTGGCTTGCGTGATAATTTGCACAAACGCCGAAGGCGTTTATGCATAAAATTATCACGCAAGCCAATCGATTGATCATCCTCATGAAATCCAAAAAATCAGTTATTCCTTAAATTTATATGCTCTTCATTCTGCAAATTCACGTGCTACAAGCCCCGCTTCTGTCTCTATTTGTCCTACCCCGATTTTTTTTTCAACACGCCTATCAATGAGCAAGTAGATTTATGTAGAAATAAAGTATTTTTACTATTTGAAATTTTATCTCGGACAAAGGCATTGGAAATGTAAATATTAAACGATGCATGCTGGACCTAATGTGCTAAATAGTCAATAAAACCTACAGATTTAATAAAAGAAAAAAAAAATTGTCTCCTCATGTCTTTCTTTTCTGAATTAACCAACTTAAGCAAAAATTAAGACATTCAATATGTAAATTTAAAAAAGAATCAAAATAGAAATTAAATTAAAACAGAAATTTAACAGAAAAAAAAGGTTTAGTAATTGTTTAAATATTTAGGATTTGCCAATTACACTGATACTTGAACCAGAAATATATCTCATCAAAAAGCAAAATTTGATTTTTTACAAAGTTAAAATACACAGGG